ATTTACCGACATCTGACACGAATAGATCAAAGAAAAGTCGCCTGTGCTGCTGAGCGTGAAGGGAGCCTTATTTTTAGCACAAGCTCCACACTGTGTACAGTGAGGAGTGTCTGTACATACAGCCATAATAAAGTAAAAGTAAATAAAGTAAAGTGTGACTTTGAACTCTGATTTAAAAAAATAAATAAAAATACAAGTAAAGCAGATTCATATTCAGTGCTGAGTCGCTCAGTGAAGGACTTCCTGTTCCACTCAGAGCCTCTTTACTGCCTTTTAATCGTAAGTCTTTATGGTCCAGTCTGTCCGACTGATACTTTGTAAATGGAGACCCCGCGAGTGCGGCAGTGTCTTTGTGCAGAACTTTTACAGCTCTTTCAAGTGTGTAAAATAAGGCACCCGCGTTCGGGAAGTGCTTTGACTGTAGTAAAGTCTCCTTTTTGAAGCATGAAGAACAAAAGCAGTCTCACATCCTGATCTGTGTCTCTCTCTCACTCTCTCTCTCTCTGTGGAGAGCTCAGCTGTGCTCCACACTCTATTGTACATCTGGCACTTTGACTCCCTGACTGTGTGTGTGTGTGTGTGTGTGTGTCTGCTGACACGCCTGCAGACTTGTGGGGGTGTAAGTGCTACGTCTAGATTTGCGAGTGTCAGTGGCCGCTGAGAACCCCGTAAAACACACAGTACGGTCCAGTTTGGCAGGACGTTCTGCTAGCATGTTGTACTTAGAGTGTTTTGTCCACACATGAGGAGAGTGGATTATTTCTGGGGATTAAACTTGACATAAGTAATAGCTAAGAAATATCCACAATGTACAAAATGTACAGGATAACGAAGGTGAGCAGAGAAAGAGTCAGTAGTACTCCGTAGTATCTGAAGTAAACCAAGTAAATGTTAGCTATGAAATACTTCAGTGTTTGCATGAAACGTTTAGAGTTTTTGTTTTAATAAATGGTGACAAAAATGGAAAGTTGACCAAATGTCAGCCCAGAACCAGCATTAGCCGACAGCCCAGTGTTTATCAGTGAAGTGCCTCGGTATAATTGGCTAAAGTTAAAGCTAAACTGTACCAAACATGACATTAACTAAACGTTTGTCAGGCAATAATTACAGCATGTGATTAAGTGGCTCCGGAACTATTTAAAATATTTATTAGGGGCAGTTGGTGTGGGGTCTATGTGTGTACTGTGTGTGTGTGTGTGTAGACTGTAATTTCAGAGGCTCAGGCTACTGAAAATGTGTCATTTTGAAGAGGAGGTGTACAGGATCTTATCACCTAGTACAAGCTGAGGCATGTCAGTCTGAGTCTCTCTCTCTCTCTCTCCATGTGTGTGTGTGTGTGTGTGTTTTGTAGCCTTCCATCTTACAGCAACGACTAACTTTTGTACAGACACTGAGACGACTCAGCAACAGGACAGTCGTGTTGTTGACATGCTGAATGTCAGATGTTGGACAAATTTAACTGTTATTTTACATTAAAAAAAACAAACAAAAACAAAACATAACACTGACTTTTAGCTCAATACAAATTAGATTACACTAGATTAGATTAGACTTTATTGATCCCACACCAGGGAAACTGACAGATTTGTCAGATCTGGCAACCCTGCCTGCTACATTTAAGTAACAAGATTAAAAATAAATAAACATACTGGTAGCAATTAAACGAGCTACAGGTAGACTTTTCAAGCACACTCACAGGCTGTTCTACAGCGCCACCACCAGCAGCAGCGGCATCAGTGCAGTTGTGTGACGGTGACAGCTCACTCCGTCTCAGCCACATGCTCTTTGACCGAGGACTCTGCCCCCTCCAGCAGCTGCAGGGGACTGCCCTTTGACTGTGTGCCGTGCAGCAGACTCTGCAGCAGCGGCAGCACAGTCTGCATTAGCATTTGATGCAGACTTCTATAGTAGACTTCTGTCGGCGGACCGCAGCACCGCGGAGGAACAGAGCAACAAACTTTACAGATCGTTGTCATTCGCGGCGAAAGCCACAACAAGGCACACACCGCCTTAGGGTTGAAGCGCGATTGCATTGAGATGGTGGTGTTATCAGATGAACGAGTTGAGCATTAATTAGTTTAAAAATAGTAACGGGTTATCTGAGAAGAAGAGGCGGGACTAACTTCCCTGGCGTAGTGATAATAAACCTGGCGTGCGGCAGACTGCCGGTGCACACGGCTGGACTCCAGACACACTCAGACGGAGAGAGTGAATGCGCTGAAACTCAGGGGTTTAACTCCGGGGTGATTCCTTGTGGAGCTCAGTAAACAACAACAACAACAACAAACACACAAACAACGGGTTAAACACAGTGTCGAAGACTGAGTTTTTTGTCCGAGCGACGGTCCAAACGGAAGGACGTCTCCGCACCGAGAGGACTTTTCAATAACCCTTCGAACTTCAAGATGTCAATTCTGCCTTTCACTCCCCCCATTGTCAAGAGACTTTTGGGCTGGAAGAAAGGAGAGCAGAACGGCCAGGAGGAGAAGTGGTGTGAGAAAGCCGTGAAAAGTCTGGTGAAGAAGCTGAAGAAGACCGGGCAGCTGGACGAGCTGGAGCGAGCCATCACCACCCAGAATATCAACACGAAATGCATCACCATACCGAGGTAAGTAAGGCAGAGTTAGAGCGGCGCTTAGCTCGACGTTGACCGTGAAGGCATCATCATCAACAACAACATCATCAACAGTAGCAGCAGCATCATCCATGCACAATTCACCACACCGGCCTCGTAACTGAGCAACAATTACACATTAGTTACTTAATAAAAACGAGCTTCCGAGCGCCTCCAGTTATCTAACGGTAGCACCGTGATACTACCACATGTCTAGCATCCTTCCGTGTCACTTTTTCCCCCTCACTCTCTAGTCCGCTGTAGCGTTTCCACCAGGATGTATAAACACTGTTACATCTTTGCTGTGGCGCTAATAAATATCTCATACCGTTCAGTGCATGCCGTCATGCCGTTTATCAGCAATTGTGGTCCCGCTGATACTGATCTGGAATCAGTATCATACAGTGTGTGCACTGACTGAAGTGCCTGCAGCTCATAGGCAATGCAAAAGTACAAATGGAGTCCAAGTTATATAACTTGGCCTTAATCTGGGGCTGCTTCCTACAGTAGCTCTGCACCTTTGCTGCGTAGGCATGGAGTGCACGGAGCCTGTTATTCAGTCTCGCAAAACGTCACGATTTCTGAAGGTGTTCGACGGTTGAACTGAAACAGTGGTTTTGACAGACGTGGCTTTCATGTGATGCGAGGTTTTATTATGCAGAAGGAGTTCGTGTGCTGACAGAAATGAACAGATTACAGCTCTGAAATCTGTGAATTCATGTAGATATTTTTTGTAATCCTGGTGTACTTGAACACATTGTACTACAGTACTGACATTGTCTTTGACATTTGACATCGTGGTCGCCTGGGTGTTATTGAAACTCCCAGTTGTACACTGTAACAGAAGGTACAGCACAAAAACATAACAGTATTTTCACACCCATTACCTCTCAGAGCCTCGGTCTTCTTTGTACCCGACCGGCCTACAGCCTAGATGTCCCTACATTACCTACATGACATAATAGTACTGTGATGAAACACATAACCCAAACTACATGGCAAGATTTTTCTGGGGCACAGACCTATTGTTCTTGGACCACGTACAGTGCAGTAACGAATCATCGCCTTTGGTTGGTCTGGTATCCAGACTGTAGGCAACACACATGAGTTAAATAAATTAATTCAGTAATTACAGGGTCAAGGCCCTTCTTCAGACCACACCAGACCAGACCCATGGTTGCTTACACACCATCTGACCTGGCTCACAACATTTTAGACTTGGCCCACACGCAGAAATAAATTACCGCCTATGATGGCCCACACCTAAACCCAAAAAGATGACGTTAAATGTCTACCAGAACTGGATGGATTTTAGCCAGTCCAAGTTTGGTTTTCCTTTTGGTTCTTTTTATCAGTCGCTGAATTACACATTTAGTAAAAACCTGTCACAAACTTTCCTTCAGTAATTCATGAAGTCACAGCAGGAAGTTGTGTCCAGAAATGGTGCAGAAGTTAGATTAGGCCAGAAACATTTCAGACTCTAGTTATCTTTGTATATTTATGCAATGCTAATTCTTTAGCTTTTTTTTTTTCATTTCAGCAGATCCGTCATGATGACAGTGCTGGTGTCAGGTTTTACTTTGGTGACAGTGTGATGTTTAAGTATGAACAGAATCTGCCTCACTCCACCAGTGGAGTAAAATGCAGCAATTTGTAATAGAACAGGTAGTTAGTATCAAGGTTCTAACAAGACTGCAACACCACATATTTCTACTGTAATTAATGGACCTGTAATTAAACAGTAGTTATCTGATCAGCCAGGACAAAAACAAACAGACACTTGAATTATTTTCTAAACACATAACAACATAACACTGGTTGACTTTAATGAAGACCCTACTCTAACATATCCAACGCCTATCAACCAGAATCTGTGCATAATTAATCTATTTGGGTTTCAGTCAGGTGTAAATACCGAGGTGTGATAAGTACTAGTAGTGTTTCTTGTTGTTGCCTCAACCCAAAAGGCCTTAAGTATGTGATCTATCCAGAGAATATTGCCTACGGTGTGGACAGTTTGGATTTAGAAGCACACGTTGTGTCAGATGAAAAGTGAACCCCGCACACGGCACTCCCACATTCTTGATTGGCACAACTGTGCATATCACACACATGCCTGGGTTGGTATCCAGAGCTAAGCCTGCCCGGAAAGTTAAATAATGTTTGGCATGATCCAGGTTTCATGTTTCTTACCACTAATTCAGACGGGAAGAGACAGGAGTGCATTAAAATGACCCCAGATCAGCTCTGGCTCTCACTGTGAGCTAACTGTGTCCCTGGAGAGCTGCTGTTTCTATTAATTCCCCCACGTTCTGGCCGTCTGACAGCAGCTGCCTGCGTGTTCAGGCCTGTCCATGTAGAGGTCAGCTCCTGTCTCCCTGACACATGAACCCCACAATGAGGCTAATAGCTGCCTTTGCTGATGATGGTTTACTGTCAAGCCAAGTGCTGAAGCATGCACAACATACCAGTTATGTCAGTAGATATGTATTGTGATGAAGTAACATGTTGTAGTATGTTACTGTTATAACAGTAGAAAATATTTATATTACAATGTGCAACACCACATATCAGGAAGGCAAAAAAAAAACAAAAAACAAAAAACAAAAACAACTACAAATCTACACAGACATTTAGACAAACCAACCAAAGTTGCCATCAGTTTACAGTCCATGAAAATCTAAACTTTGTACTTTTTACATGTTTTCGTGTAGTGGTAGAGTTATTCTACTTTCTCACTGTACTTGAACAAAACCATGTATTTCTCCTCATGTAAGTTAGTGGGTTTAATGTTCCAAAACATGAAAAGAAGATTTTGTTTTCCTGTGAAGAACATGTTTTGTTCTGGTGGAGGTAAGTCAGGGATTTTATTTTGAAAGAACTTCCTGGTGTAGAGGGTTAATTCAGGAACATCTTTGAAGAAAAGATTTTAAATAAACCTTTCTGGAGCAGACGGCTCCTACTGTTCCTATAGACCAGGAGTGTCAAACATACGGCCAGCGGGCCAGAACTGTCCCTCTTAGGGTTTGAAGACAAAGGGGAAACAAATGTGGACTTATAGTTCCAGTATTTATAGGTAATTAAGATAATAGTATATTTTATTTCAAAGGCACCTTTCTGTCACCCAAGGAGACCTTACAATGAAAAAAGTATAATAAAATGATGTTATGATTCTAATGGTCCGGCTCACTAGACATCTCATTAAGGCCCCTGACCTGAATGAGTTTGACACCCCTGCTGTAGACTTTCTATTGATTTGCTGTTTTCCTAGCTCTGTATTATTTTACTCTAGGTCAGCATGTATGTGTGTGTGTGGGTAGTTTGTTTAGGGTTGGTCTCGTAGCTCTAGTAATAAACATGGGTGAGGAGATAAAGTCTGGGTCTGTTTAAAAAAAAAAAAAGGGTGAGGAGATAAAGTCTGGGTCTGTTAAAAAAAAACCCCAAATGTCCCTTGGACAACAAAGTCGTCTTAAAATGGAAAGACAAGCAGCAAACAATCTCAGCCTTTGCTTATCACTTGGGAAGAGCTACGGCTTCACTACCGCCTTGCTGGTCACTGTGGTTGTTACAATGAGTTGCTTATACCTTGTGCAAAAGTGAATGTTTAGATCTGAGTGTAATCTTAGTTACTCAACAATGAGCAGTTGCGGCGTGCGGGATTGACTAACCTTCCTCCCTCTTTGCCACTTTCAAAACCGTGCCCTCGTTTGAGCCTTAAATAAAGGTTGGTCACAAACATTGGCTTGTTCACTGTGTCAATGAAAGTTTAAGAGTTTCTGATTAGATGGAAAGTGTGGTTTCCTTCGTCTGTTGTGGACTTTTGGTGTGTATTTTTGTTTGTAAACAGAGGCAAACTATTGTTTCTGTTTCAGTGAGTTGACACATGTGGTAGTTGGTTATACTGTCGCTATACAACAACTTAGTAGTTGTAAAAGAAAACAAATACAGTTTAGTGTGCAGTTATAGAATTAATTGTATATCAGTATCAGTTACATTTGTCTGACTTCAATCAACCACTTTAAAGCTTTGTCCATTAAAGGCATCACAGTGAAGGCATCGTTAATCTCAACTAATGACCCACAGGGTAAAATCCTTTGTACTTAGTTGATGAATGTATTATTTACTCAACATTTCTTGTGTAGTTTAGTACACTAGTGTGGGTACTTTTCTACTACTGGTTTGATTTGTTAGATGATGGTTTGACATTAAAGTCAGTCACCTTGTACTTGTCCCAAGCTAGCATTTTTCAGGAAAGGCATCCAGCATATACCACCCGATGGACCTTTACAAAGGGTAAAATACTTTTTCAGTTTGGGGACATTTGAGGTGTAGTTCATTAGGTACGCAGTATAAATACCTGTGCCCATCGTAGGGGAATAGAAATGAGTGTCAAGCATTGACTACTGTGACCTCATAACACAACACATGTACACCTGTATGTATGTATGTACATGTTCACAATGTTTTGGTACAAACAAGCTGATTGGGCTTCATGTAAAAGTGAATCCAGTGAGAAGAAAGAGCTTTTTTTTTTTTTTTTTTACATTCTTCATCCTTGATGTAAAACGTCAGGGCTTTGAACTTACCACTTCATTGGCAACCGATCTAAGTTGTGGGTGGTCTGCAGTAACTGCCTACACCACTAAATGTTAGTCAAGCAACCAAAACCCTTCAACTTTGTGTTATTGCAGACATACAAAACACTTTCACTGATGACCTGTAGATAATGATTAAACACAACTTCAGACTACTGTAGTCAAGTCCATACTTCAATGTGAAACGTTACAGTGTTACTATCTCTAACAGCAGTGCCGTTTTTAATGGCAAGAATTGTTTAAATATTTTCTAATATATCGTCAGCATATAGGGCTAACATATCAATCAGCCTTACAGTAGGATGGAGTTACTGTAAATAACAGTCTAGTTTCGTAAGAAGAAAATATTTTTTTGAAATGATATATATTTTCCAAAGCCCTGAGGGAGTGGATTCCTGA